CTGCTTGGCCTGCTGTGTTCATCCAGCCCTGCACCTTGTTGTCTCGGATTCTCCAGCGTCTGCAGTTCCTACTATCTCTGACTCAATTGTAAGTTTTTGATTCCTGTTTCCAAATTGAATAGTTACTCATATGAATATTAAACAAGTTTGGGGTGATTTATGATTTTATTTCCACAGTTTCATACCTGAGATTTATCAAAGCTGTTACATTAAATTTGAAAGATGATAGAGAATTGAACAATGAAGAAGACCTGTACTGATCCCCCAAGCTTCCCAACGTGTATTGGAGTAGACTTATCATATTTCATTATTTGGTTTGCACAAAATCTTTTTGTCAAAAGAACACATACATTTTTAAATTACACTAAATATATAGCCAGAAAATAAAATGCCCTCCACATAATATAAACTTATTCAATCTTACTTTGTCATCAGTCTGCTCTTGGTCATCAGCAAAGTAATGGAAGGTATTGTCATTGGTGCTATCAAGTAGCACCCACCTGACTGCAAACTACTCACCGATGCTCAGTTTGGGTTTCTTCTGGGTTGCTCAGCTCCTTCATCATTAGAGTGTTTTGTTCAAAAAAATGTCAAAAGAGCTGAGCTCGAGAAGTGAGGTGAGAGTAACTGTTCTTAACATCAAGGTAACATTTGATTGAATGTGCAACAAAGAGCCCTAGCAAAAACTGGAGTTAATGGGAATTAGGGGAAATTCTCCACTGGTTTGTGTCACATTTAGAATAAAGATGGTTGAATAAAGATTACACAATGTTCAATATTATTCACCACTCTTTCGAATCTGAAGCAAACCTGTCCAAATACAGCAACACTTGGACCAAGTCAGGGATGGGCAACAAAAGTGTTGGCTTAATCAGCCATGCCCGCATCCAATGAAATAATCATAAATCATCTCTGCTGATATTCATCACTTATTTAACAGAAGAGTTTGCAATACTTATTGCAGATCTAATCAGCGAGTTTATACTGGGAAAGATAGAAATGTAGTGGTAATGTCACCTAATGTAGCAGTAATGTCACCAGATTAATAATGTAGAGGCTCAGGCTACTATTTTGGAAACATAGATTGAAATCCCACCACAGCAGCTGGTAGAATTTTAAATTCAGTTAGTAAAACATGGTATTGAAAGCTAGTCATCTGCCATACTTACCACAGAACTGTCATTAATTACTGTAAAAACATATTTGCAAGGAAATCCTCTGTCTTCTTTGAGAGATTTAGTTTATATGTGACTCCAGATCCACTACATTGTGATTGATTCTTATCTACCTCTTGAGATGGCCTAGGAATTCCAGGACAATTAGGGAGGGACAACAAATGCAGTGTCTTCATCAAAGAAGACAAAAAGCAAGGAGGCATATAACTTTTTCCTTAAAACAACATTGAACCACAATGCAGGAATTAACTAATGAAGCAATGTGACCTAATATTAATTCTTAAGAAGGTTATGTGGGCCACATAAAAATATTGTGAACTTTTAAATTAAGGACACTTTGTTAAGGAAAACAATGTTGCGCCTCAAAGAAGAGGGAGCTCTGATAGAGTCAGACAGTCTGGAGGACTTCCAGATAGAGGTCACCGGCCAAGTTTGTCAGTGGGATAAAACTGTTGCATTTTTGAACACAAAGGGAGAGAATTTGAGACCTGCCTGAGAGTCATGACCCACTGCTTCTTTTCTTTACAACTCTTCTCAGTAAAGTCTGTAAGCTGAAAACCCATCAAAAGTCATCTTTACCACTCAGGGAGAGTCCGTGAAGAGGATTTGTAGGAATCTATCTCACGGCCTGACTTAAGCAAAGGGAATTCAGCCAACTAGGACTGTGGCAGGAAGGCACTCCAGGGCCATCAGCTTGTGTTTGCAGAGTAACTTTGGAATTAAAACATCAATTGGGACAATTTTTTATTTTTCCTTTTCTCGTGACATTAATCATTACTTGGCCATAATATTTTAAAGTCAGCACACTGCAGTGTTTTCATTATTTGTTTATCCTCAGACTTTGTGTGCGTCCGTGTGTATATGTATTAGTTTCTTTAAAATATTGAGACACATTTGAATAATCAAAATTGTGTGTCAATAATCATTGCATCTTTGTTTCACTAAGTTTATTTTGGTAATAATCCTGCTATTTGTTGTTGAATGAAGGAACCTGGCTGACTTGTTCTTAAGACTGAAGGTGACACAGTCTGAGACTTCTTTAGTTGGCCATAACAAACCTGATTAAAATTAAAATTTGTTGTGACCAGTTGAGAATTGACTAGAAAAGGAAGCAGTGTACCCCTCCATCTCAGTTATAATACTCTGCAGCTAAGATAAACAATTTCAGATTGTCTAATTCTTCAGTTTCATTAATTGGAGAATTAATGTGGCAGGAGCATTTTCACAGGAATCTTCCCTATATTTGTGCTCAGTTGGATCTTATAATTGGCACCCACTTGAGAAAGGCCCAGTAAATATGTTGGGCAGGCATTAGTTTTGTCTTTAAGGTGAATGAAGGGCACTATATGTCAGAGAAAGCTCATTGGAAAGCTGATAATAAACTTAGCGCTCATTAAGTAGGTATTGCCCTGCTTGAAGCTAGATCTGAGACCTCAAGTTAGTAACAAAAATAGCTTTTGTCTCTAATAATATTACAACTCTGGAGTAGTGATAAGAGGAGGCAGGGCAAAAGCAGATGTCCCAGCCAGTTTCTAACGAAGTATGATATTTTTCGGGAAGCTGCCTATACTCTGGATAACCAAGTTAGTATTGATGTGAGGTTTGATTAAAGTTTTGTCTCTGGAAAATTGGTCAATTCCGCTTTCTGAGAGTTGAAGTGATCGTGGAGAAGAGAATTCAGATTATCATTGTTAATCAGGGGATTCATCAAAAACAAAGACGAAGCAGCTCCTGTGGACTGATTGAGGACAGAAGATTGGACTTCAAGAAGGTTATTCACTTTCTGCTAAGGTGACTGCAATCTGAGGCTTCTCGCCCAGGGAGACTGGTCACTTCTGTTAAGGTTCTCGTCAGACACAGTATCCCAATTCTGCAGCTATGGGGCAGGCTTTGAGTAATGAAAATAAAGGGGAAATTGGTGTTGCTGAGCTCCAAGACTTGTACAAGAAGTTTGTGACTGAATGTCCCAGTGGAACACTTTTCTTTCATGAATTTAAGCGTTTTTTTGGAGTTTTAGACAATGAAGAAGCAGCTGAATATATCGAAAACATGTTTCGGGCATTTGATAAAAATGGGGTGAGTGTGAGTCTGCTTGTGTTTGCCTAGAGCCCTTTATTCCCAACTAAACCAAGTAGAAAAGTTTGAGTAGTGACAAATGCGTTATTTAAACTTGCTCTATATTGGTAAATCAAATCGAGATCTTGTTTGTTTTTAAAATCATAGAATGTTTACAGCACAGAAGAAAGACCTTTGGCCCATCCTGTCTATTCCATTGTGTGGATGTTTAAACTGTAAATGCAAAAAGGTTGAAATAATGAGTTTAATGGGACTAGTGACTTTGCTTCTGAAACGTATCATTTTTATTTAAATAATGTTCCCTTGTTTTTAGTTGAATCAGCTGGAAAGTAGAGTTGGGGTGTTGGGGTGTCAAGGGGAATAGATAAGCACCTCCAAAATACTGACAGAGCACTTTTAAGTGTGCCAACTACAACACTGCCATTTAGTGGCTATTCATTTACTCATGAGGGTAGAGTTTCTGATAGTTTCTGAATGAATTGTTTGCCACAGTGAATTTGACACAAGATTCATATTTTCTACATAAAGTAGTTATTATGATGGGAAAAGTATAAAACAAAAATTAAAAGCAAAGACATCTACAAGAAGAGAATGAAATTGAGAATCAATTTACATTTTGATTTACGTAAAAGGAACCTATCTGTTGGGTAACAGACAAATAAATTAATAATTTTCCTGACATAGTAACCTGTATTCCACTCTATGTGGTGGAAATTCTTGGTACTTGTTGTATAAAACTAGTCAGTTGTTAAGGAAGCAATGTATGAAACAGGATACATTGTACATTTATCCAATAGTAATGGACACCAACTTCATTTCTTTTAGGACAACACTATTGATTTTTTGGAATATGTGGCGGCACTCAATTTGGTTTTAAGAGGCAACCTGGAGCACAAATTAAAATGGACTTTCAAAGTTTATGACAAAGATGGAAACGGATGCATTGATAAAACAGAACTGTTGGAGATTGTGGAGGTCTGTGGCTACCTTATTTTTTGTTTCTTTTTATGAGTTGGCATGTTCTTTTTTCCTGAATTCTGACATTTGCTCTTTTTGTATAGTCCATTTATAGATTAAAGAAGGCTTGCCAGCAAGAATCAGAAGAAGGATCTGTACTCTTAACTCCAGAAGAAGTTGTGGACAGAATATTTCAGTTAGTAGATGAAAATGGTGACGGTAAGATTTGCCAGGTTTCTGTCACTGACATTAACTACTGCCTGGTCATTGCTAGATTGAACCAGACTGAATTGCTGGAATGTTTAGCCAAATGAAGACTTGGGCCTATCTACATTAGAATATCATAAATAGGACCAGGAATAAGCCATTCAGCCCCTCAAACCTGCCTGCCGTTCAACTAAATCATGTCTGAACTGCATCAGACCCACTTTCCTGTTCTATCCCTATATCTCTTGCTTCACTCAGTGCTCAAAAATTTAGACATCATTGGCTGAGCATCCACAAAATTTATGAGTTTCACTACTATCTGACTGAAGGAATTTTACCTTAACTAAATCCTAAATAGCTGGTTTTTGTCCTGAGACTATAACTTCATGTTCTGACCTCTGCAGCTAAAGAAGTTCAGCCTGTAATATCAGCCTGCATTCCAAAATAAATTATATGTTTCAATGAGACGAATAGAATATGTATCTTTTCTATTTGATTTCTGCTCATTGGATGGCACACTTATTCTAGGAATCAACTGTGTGAAATTTTGCTTCACACTCTTCTAAAGCTGTCAAACTATCATCAATTTTTTTTATTACATGTGCATGGGATGTGGCCAGCATTTATTGCCAGGATCCAATAATATTGTTGTGGCGTTGGAAGGCAGACCATTTAAGGACAGCAGTTTCCTTCTCTGAAGGATATTAGAGAATCAGATGGGTTTTCCTGTCAATGAAAGTTTAATGGTTAACATTAGATTCTTAATTCCAGATATTTTAAATTAAATTCAGATTTCACCATGTGCCACTGCAGGATTCGAGCTCAGGTTCCAGAACATTACCTGGGTCTTTGGATTAATCATCTAGCAATAATGCTACCAGTCATAGCCACCGATGATTAGATACGCTTGTTGTAAGCTTCCTTTAGTAAAATAATCAAAACTATATATAGTACTCCAGGTGTGAACTTTCCAAAGCTCTATATAATTGCAGCATGTCTTCCTAATTCATAAACTGCAAACCTCTTGCAACAAGGAATAATAATCCATTCACCTTCCTAATTGCTTGCTGTACCTGCGTGCTAAATTTCTATAATGTACAAGGACTCCAAATCATACTGATCCCAATCAAACCCAATCAGCATGTACTAAATTCACACTTTTTAAAAGTTCCTTTTCCATTTTTCTTACCAAAGTGATTAATTTCATACTTGCAGTCGTGCCTAATTACAGAACCAATCTATGTCTCTGTGTTGTCTCCCTATATTGTCTATCAGCATGCTTTCTCACATAGCATTATATCATCAATAAACCTGTATATATTAGTAGTGGTGTAGTGGTAATGGCATTGAACTTGAGTCCCAGGCTAATACTCTGGAGAAGTACGTTCAAGTGGCAACTGGTAGAAATTGATTTTAGTTAATGGAAATATAGAATGTGGTATCAATAATGGTGACTTTGAAACAATCATCAGTTGTTACAAAAAAGAACCCATCTGGCTCACTTATGTCCTTCAGGGAAGGAAACCTGTCACCCTCACCTGATTTGATCTACATGTGACTCCAGATCTGAAGCAATGTGAATGACACTTAACTGTCTTTGAAGTGGCCTACCAAGCTACTCAGTTTGAGAGCAGTTAGTGTCAGGCAACAAATTGTGGCCTTGCCAGAAGTGCCTGTATCCCATGAATGAATAAATAAAAGGCGCACAAACAAACCTCTCGTAAAACTCATTGATATAAGTTGTAAATAACTCAGGTCCAAACACAAGTTACGACCTGAAACTGATCAGTTTAATTCTACTGTGTATTTTCTGTCTGTCAATCAATCCTCAAACCAAGCCAATATTTCACCTCCAATTATTTAGGCCCTAATCTGGATGACAATCTTTTGGAATGTATCTTACTGAATGCCTTCTGAAAAATCAAATTGCGCTCCTTCCACTAGTTCCTGTCATCAATCTTGCTAGTTACAACCTGAAAACAAAACTCTAACGGGTTTGTCAAACAGAATTTTTCTTTCCTAAAAGGATTACATTGTGATTCTAAAGTGTTGTGTTCCTACTTCTTTAATAATAGATTCTAGCATGTTCCACAGTTTAGTTCAGCTTCTTCTGTCCAGGTAATCGTAACGTACAATGATAATCAAATTGTTAACAATCAATCTCTATCAAGTCATATAAAATAGACTCAGACATTATAATAAACAACTGCATTGATTGGGAAGTTTTGGGAACCATAGATCCGAAATCAACATTTTCCTCCCAAACAGGTTACATTTGTCATCCATTGTTTAAAATTATTTATATTCAGTCATTCTTCACTCTACATTGACCCATTGCAGATCATTTTAATGGTGTCGGTCACATTTAGCATTGTTGTGCAGTGGGCACAACGTAAAATAGGTGACACGATTGGCAGAATTTTGGAGCCGCTTCCCTCACTCTCAAACTCTCCCACTAGCTGGGCATCCCACTTACCATGTGCACCCATCACGTGACCCTCTTACTCACCACTGCTGCTGGCCAAGCCGCCTGCTGCCATCCCTATCATTCAACTACTATCTGTAACTTCGTGGGACAGCACTTCCTCCACTTCACCATTACCAATAACCCAATGCTGATTCAATGAGGCATGCAGAACGGCCTGTCAGGAGCAGCACCAGGCAGACTTCAAAATGCAGTGTCAACAACACTAGACTACTTGCATTGCCAAGCAGTGGGAGCAGAATGCAACTGACAGAGAAAAGTACACCCACACTAATGAATCAGATTTACATTTTGCAGTTCTGCTACATCAAGCTATGAGGGGCAGTGGAGAATTAAACAACTCAATGGAGGAGGAGGTACCACAGATGTCCCCATTCTCTGTGATGGAGCAGCCAAACATATCAATGTAAAAGACAAAGCTGAAGAACTTGCACCCATCCTGTGTGAGAATTGCTGAGTGGATGATCCATCTTGGCCTTCTCTTGTGATATCCAGAATGACACATGCCGATATTCAGCCAATTTGATCAATTCCACATGATATCAAGAAATGGCTGAAGAGACTGGATTTTGCAAAAACCACAGGCCCTGTCAACATTCCAACAACAGTCCTGAAATCTTTTACTCCAAAACTTGCCACACCCTGAGCCAAGCTGTTCCAGTACAATATTACACTGGCACCTGTCCAGCAATGTGGAAAATTGTCCAGCTGTCTCCTGTCCATAAAATGCAGGACCATTCCAACTTGGCCAGTTACCACCCTCTCAATCTGCTTTCGGTCATCCGCCAAGGTGCTGGAAGGGGCATTCACAATGTTACAAAGTGGCACTTACTCAGCAGTAACCAGCTCACTGACACTTGGTTTAGCTCCCAGGTCACTCAGCTCCTGACCTCATTCCAACTTTGATTAAAACATGGTCAAAAACATCAAGGTAACATTTGACCAAGTATGACATCGAAGAGTGTTCCCAAAACTAGACTCAAAAGGAATCAGGGAAAAACTCTCCACTGATTGGAGTTGTAATTGGCACAAAGGAAGGTAATTGTGGTTTTGTGGTTGTTTAGTATTGTGATGCAATATTCTTTCCCTCAGAATTCTTGAGTCTAAAACTTTCTCTATCCCAAAAGTTCAACTGATTGTTAGCAGAGTCAGTTATCAAACTTTCTACCCCCTTATAGTCGGCACAGAGAGTTTCACTTGAATTCTGCTTGAAAGGAATGTTTTATTTATTCAGCTTGTTCCAAAATTACAAATTAAACCCTAAAAAACTATTTGACTTAATGACTGTTAGGAACCAGCTTAGCCTCATAATTCACTTCTTGTTGAGCCTTTGTTATCATATTGTTTATCTCCCAGGCAACTTGATTGTATGATCATTTACTGTAAAAACCCTCTCAGAGAAACTTAGTTCAGAAAGCAACCATCACTGTAAAATATAATGTAGATTTATTGCCCTCAAAACACAGGGATCACCAACAAATATTAAAATCACCAACAATTACAGTAGTAATGTAGAATCCCTACAGTGTAGAATCAGGCCATTCGGCCCATCAAGTCCACACTGACCCTCTGAAGAGCATCCCACCCCCTACCTATCCCTGCGTTTCCCACCCTAGACACTACAGGCAATTTAGCATAGCCAATTCACCTAGCCTGCGCATCTTTGGACTGTGGGAGGAAACCCACACAGACACAGGGAGAATGTGTAAACTCCACACAGACAGTCACCCAGGAGTGGAATTGAACCTGGGCCCCTGGCGCTGTGAGATAGCGGTGCTAAACACTGTGCTGCCTTATGTTACACATGAATATAGCCCTCACACAGGATGGTTGGTATTAGGTGGGGGAAAGTGAGAATGTCTCTAAGACAGTTAGCTCAAGAATGTTACACAGTTAAGAACATAGACATGAAGAGTGATGCCTTGAATCCCTTGGTACTGATATGGGCAGGGAGGAGGCTGGCTGAAGGAGGTAAAAGGTGGGATGTATTTTAAATGTTAGCAGGGAACGGAGGCCTATAGATGGCAACAACTAAATTTGAATAAAAACGTAATTTAAAGTTTATTTAAAGAAAAAATAAATATTAAAACTAACTTGCTTTTGGGAAATAAAAGTCAACTGTGTAAATCCCTGAGATCTGTCGAACTAAAGGCTTTGAAGCTACATCTAGTGATAGATGTATGCAACTGCAGTGTGACTGCAGGACACGATAGGAACGTCTTTTGAGTTTCCAGTTGGATTCTGAAAAATACAGGTGCCCAAATAAGGAGTGATCACACATTTTAAAAAATGCAACAGATAGATA